AGCTGATTCGTAACGGGCCTTAGTCTTAGGAGTGATTGCAAAATCACGAAGACGCACCCCTGCACGGCGCCGTTGCCGTTCCCTCTGTACCGGCCCGCAAGCAGCACTCGAGGGATATGCCTAGGCATATTTAAAGACGGCTGGCCGCATCTGTAGGGTTCTCGAGAGATCCCACATGCGCGTGCAGCAGCGTGACACCGAGGGCCAGCTGAATCGAGCCAATGCGATTGCAGAGAGGTTGAAGAACCCGGCTAGAGGTACGCCCCTTTGAAAGTATGTATAAACAAACCATGCTGTCCGCAACATGCAACCATTTCTTATTAACCTTTGAGGGATTACGGGCTTTCCAGAGTAGTGTAAGGAGGATCATCTTCATCTCTAACCAGTTTATATGAGCAGGATGAAGCCAGGTGATTTTGAATAGATGATGCCACTGCCACCACCAGGCTCTAACCGATCCATCAGCCCCTGACTTACGCCCCATAAGTTGTCCTGCGCATGGTTAACCGGACATCTGATCCCGTGTGATTAACTGTGAGCCCAAGTTGCCTGACCAGCTCCTCCAGGGATCCGTGGTGTCCTTCTCCTCCTCCATGGGCCAAAAACGGGACATCGGCACCAGCAGTGAAGGATGAGCTGAACTGCCAGGTGCAAGCCCCAACCGCTGCTGGATCATACGAGGGCTCATCCGCGGGACCATTGACACGCACATCTGGGCCCCCATGATCGCGAAAGAAGAGATAGCAAAGCTGTCTCCGCAAAGTGATAGCCTGGAATCCTCGTATACAAAACTCTTCTTAACGTCAGGCTGAGCGACACGTGTGGCCCGGCCCAAATCCAAGGAGGATTTCACGCTCACTGGCATCAAGAAGTCGCGGCTGCTGACCTTCTTGCTGTAGCAAGTACCGCTCTTGAAACTGTGAAGGGGGGAATCAGTACTCTGCTTCCTCCCATCTGCATACGGTGGCACGGTCACATTTGGCCAGCCCCGCCGGGAATGGAGGTGGTGTCGCCCTGACTATGCTCTTCATAAAGGTCGGGAACTTGACGCCTGCGCCCTCAGCTGGCCAGCGCCATCCCGGTTTTATCCACTGGCCCTGCTGCACGGCGTCTGCCAGCGCATAGGCCCTCACATAGTCAGCCTCCTCCCAAATGTAAATCCTCCATCTCATAGAGCTCCTCAGAGCACCAGGCCAGGCGAGGCCGGCTCATGGGTAAAGTCTTGATTGGCCGCACCTGAAGCTGGGCGCTTATTTCCTTCCTGGCGGCCTCATGCATGGATGCCACGTTTTCCACGCAGAACTTCCCCGTTTCAACCCAAGAATCTCCAGGAGCCTCCAAAATAAGCGGGACCCTTCTCCCTCAGAAAAGCACGCACCCTCTAGAGGTGAACGCAGGGGAATCCTCCCCAGACATGTACTTCGACAGCGCGTGGGAATTCATTGGCCCACTGGCGCACGTCTTCCAGTGAAATGTCCTCCACGTTGTGGTATTCCATAACCTCAGGCCATGTGCTCCTCGTAGTGCGATTGGCATCTCTAGAGATATCAATGGATATCTTTCCCATCACTGCAATTCCCAGCACGTCGTAAATGCGGAATGCGCCACGTATCCCGTTGAAGAGGGATATCACCACAATGGGACACTCAACAGCTCCATTCCTCCGATCTCGGAGATGTCTGCAAAGTGAGTGCCCTGACCACGTCAGATGGGTAGCCACAGCAGCTGCACCTCCAGATTCGGAAGCGTCACTGCAAGTGACTTTTGATGGTCAACATGGGTTGCTGGGCTGTTCGACCGAGCGACTCATGAAGACCATGTGGGCCTCAATCCACCTGCTGCGCCAGCGTGGCGGTACAAAAAAGGAGATGCAGGCGGTGCTTGGCAGGTGGATCTTTGTGCTACAGTTTCGCCGGGCCGCAATGGGCATCTTGCCCTGATCATGGGAAGCTGTAGAGCGGTGCTGGCGCAGGCCTGAGCTCACCAATGCACTGCTAAAGGAAGTACAAATGCTGATGTGCCTGGGGCCTTTGCTACAGACGGACTTGCGACTGCCCAGCACCTGCTTATCCTCCGCCGTCAATAGCCCTGCTGATGACCAGGCTTTCATGGCGGCCTCCTGCAACTTGATGTCCAGCATGGAGTGACCGCAAGAGGATTTCTCAGCGGCCATGAAGTTATCAAGGTATACCTGCCACCAGCAAGTCTTGTCCTTGGAGCTGTTGACAACGTCGGTGAACCAGCTAGGCACCCGCCTAGCACGGTGCAACTCCAGCTCCCTGGGTAGTCCATCTTGAAGAAGAAGTTCTCGGGAGATCATCTGCATAATGCCAACCGACGACTTCCAACCCATGGGAAGGACTCGGCACACTGGGCGAAACCACCGGGTGCTGCCTCGACCAATCTCCTTTCCGTTCAAATTGAGTTTGAAGGCCATGAACTGTTGCCACAAAGCTGGCAGCTCAAATAAGTAGAAGGCCGCGCTCATGTCGCCCTGCGACAAATGCAACTCCTCGCCGTCCGCCATAGTCAGCGGGAGCCACATCGCCGCTCCAGGTAGGAACTTGATGTCGCCGCAGATCACCTGTAGCAACGAGTTAGCTGGGATTAGGTTCATGATGACCCTGAGGACTGGTTTGCCAGTAGGTGTAAACTTTGATGGCTTGATAACTCCAAATAAACCGTTAAGAAGTTTGCCAGAAGAATCCGAAAAAAACAGTTCGTCATCCAACCATGTTGTAACTCCCCTTTCTTCTAAAAGTTTGAAAACTTGAAGTTCTTGACCTGGTACAACATGAACCTTAGATGTCATGGGGGTCCCCGCACGGTCACTGAGCGGGATCTCCGAATCCGCCCCTTTAGGAAAGGCCCCACTGGAATAGCACCCCCATGCCCAACCGGGGGAACACTTTTGAGGATCTGTTCAACCGAAAGTGAATGGGGTCTCGAAATTTCTTCCCCAGTATAGCTGATCCTCTTCTCTTCAAGCTCCTTGCAAACCTCACGAAAATCAACCAAGAGGGGTGTTTCAGAAGAGATAAACCTGACAATCTTATCCCTCAGAGCCAACAGCGCGCTCTTGTGCACTTTTCCACTCGCTGGACTCGCCACAGGTCGCGGGCAACCGTAGTAAGCATTGAGCGCCGCACAGGCGACGGCGAGCCAGCAATCTACAGAGAATTGCAGGTCACCCCAATTCTGGTGACTCTGAAGCGCCACAAGAAAATCATCTGGGAGCTTGACCGGCAGGGGAAACAGGCCCGATGGCCCGATGGCGTCTTCGCACCATGCCAGGACTGTGATGGTCCAGCACGGCTCTCACTGAAGAGCAAGTGTCTGCTGTCGAGCCCCCATGCCAGTGTCACTCCAAGCTCCTTCAAATTGGAGCAGCATGCAAGGAGTTCCACCCAATCTCTGTAGCTCAATGTGCGACCCGAGGACAAAAGCTCAGCGCACAAGTCAGCCGGTGCAAGTCCTAAGAGTCCTGTTCAAGCAAGGGTAAATTCGAAACAGCTGATGCACCCGGCACCTTTAAACCAGCCTTAGCATCAGCCTCACCATGACCCAGCGACTCAACTAGGTCTATAGGGCCCTGCGCATCATCCACTCCCAGCGTCCCGACGTGGGGCGCAGGGGAGTCTCTTATGAAGCTGGGGCGTCCGCACCCTTGGTCTCCTTCTCCTTCTCGCCCCAGCCTTGCCACTTTCCTTTTCCGCCTTTCGCCTTCCCCTTGCCCTTCTTCCTTTTCCTTTTGCACCCTTGCCCTTGGGGGCCGCGCTGCTGTCGGCCGGCCACACGCAAGTGGGGGCCGTAGCTGGGCACTGCAGTGACAGTCCCTGGGTGCCGTCGTGTGCAGCTGGGATGTCACCATATATATATATATATATTTATACGTAACTAATCTAGGTGCATGTTAGGGGACTCAGTTCCCGACGGATCTCTTAAAAGATCCACTCTTGTCGTGTGTGTGTGTGTGTGTGCCTTTGCCGTCACGGTCAACTTACACTTTGGACTTCGATTATGAGAGTTTCCCTAGGGGAGGGACAGGTAACTCCACACACAATTCTTGTTGGATTGGCGCGCCTCACCCATTTTCCACCAGCAATCTCCTTGCCTCAGATCAGTGGTAAGGAAAAAAAACAGGTTGCACATAATTTTGGTAGCTGGTAGCTGAGGGGCGTATATCCTTGCCTACTCCTGACCATTTGTGAGACACAACCAGAACCGCAACAGTTTCTTGTGCTTAAAAATCAACATCTATGTCAGAAAGTCTTCAGCGCAAGGACGCACAAAGGGAAAACATTGAGATATGATGAGATATGTCTGCAAGGGAATGGTACAAGTATAGGAAATACACGTGCGCATTTTTTGTTGGGTGCCTTCTTCAATATAGGATATTCTCCTTCGACAAACACACTTACGCAATCCCACAGGCCCATCTTTCATTTTATGCGCTGAAAAAGCAGACCGTTCTTGCTATGTCTGTTTGCACTTGCCGGAGGGGTTCCAGTTGCCAAAGAAACAACCAGTGGCTACTGCTTTCATGTGCTTTCCGCCCCCTAAGCACTGCGTCGCTCTGAACGAATTCGACCATGACCCAACACTTGTGGGAATCGACTTTGAAAGAACCTTGACGCCCATCGAATTCACAGGACCCAAGCACTCTCCATCTTAGAGAGTATCATGGGAGGGGGCGGCCTTGTCCTCTACTGGCTGCTCTAGCAAAAGCATTCTCCCCTGATTGCAAAAACATGACAATCGGAAAGGGCTCTTCAAAAGAAGGCACCGCGATGTGCTATTGCTGCAACATATGTATGTATAAATATATATATATGCATATACAGATGATGTATATATGTATATATCACTTTTAAAATGTGATTAGGATCTCCACTGGTAGTCCAACTCAAACAGCCTTGGCCCAATACTCATGACATGTTTTGTACATGGTGTTCGGGACCTTTCTCCACAGTGGATGCTGCTTTTGCACGTGTGCATGCCTAGTCCATGCCTTCAAGATCAGTTTTGCTCTGTCCCCATTTGGCTTGGGCCTTTTCCAGCCTCAGGAATCTTCAAATGGCTGGATGAGAAAAAAATATTCGACGGTGCTCACCTGCAGGTTCCTTTATAAATGGATGCCGATCCACTCTATTTATCTTTTTCATATATAAATGTCCGTGTGTGATATTTGAAGATACTATATTCAGTTATGTTATAATATTGTAGCATATTTTATATCATATTATATTACTGTCATATTATATTATTTTCTAATTTTTCTATTGAGTTCAATTTCATTGAATTAAACTAAATCAAATTATATTTCATTTTATGCTAAATATGTTATTATATTATATTGAACTAATTTGTATCATAATATTGACACAAGCGACTGGTACGACCACCTAGTCAATACCATTGATTGTCTTTCAGATTGTGTTGCTCGGCAGTACCATTGACCGTGAAAGGCGATGTGTTGAACTTCTGAATCATCCTGAACCCCAATGGAAGAACAGGATCGAGCAATCGGGTACGAAGGCAACTCTTGTTCCCCATACAACAACATCCCCGATTGCATGAACAGGGCCACCTTGCGTCTTCTTTGGACTATCATTGCATCCAAGGACACCAAAACTACGAGTTTCTCGAATTAGCTTCCCAAATTAATTGCATCAATTCACTGACCTTCTGAGACTCAGGAATCTTGGGACTTGGGAGTCACTACGATATCTTTGGCAAAAAGAAAAAAAGCAATCCAAGTCTCTGCAAATCTTCTTTCGCAATTTTGCGGCTGTTGGCCTATCTATTCCACCTATCAATGTCGCATATGTCATCCATATCATGTTCTGCTATGCACGCTCCAGGCTTCTGCATGCTGCACCACTCCCATCTTTTAGCAGTTTGTCAAAAAAAAAATGCGTATACCTCATACCCCGTATCCGGACAGACCCACATCATGTTGCTGCTTCTATCGCCCATCATATCTCCACGATATCCCCATCGTGGTTGGTTTAATACTCGGTTTGGGCAAAAACACATCATAAGTACATAGACGAATTTGCGGATATATAATAATGGAAATTATATATATATATATATTTATTTATTTATTTATAGAATTATTTATTTATTTATTTATTTATTTACTTCTTTATTTATTTACTTCTTTATTTATTCGTACATATTGACATGTGTATAAATAGTTATAAATATAAATATGTGTGCGCCTATTCATTTATATGACACGTCGATCATTTCTCCTGCCAGATCGGACTATCATTTCCTGCAGGGCCTATGCTGCCCGTTCAGCAGGAGGCACAAGTTCAAAGAAAGTTTCTTCACTCTCATCCACCCGTGGTCCATTCACCCTAAGGGTGTGGTGGGTTTTTGGGTGAACTTGAGCGGTGAATGGCCAAGGCGGCTAAATTCGAAAAACATGCGACTCAGTCAAACTGGTGAAGGACCCATATGACACGTCGATCATTTCTCCTGCCAGATCGGACTATCATTTCCTGCAGGGCCTATGCTGCCCGTTCAGCAGGAGGCACAAGTTCAAAGAAAGTTTCTTCACTCTCATCCACCCAAATTTGCCCAAAGTTGGAAGCCTTCTGGTTTGCCGCTCAATTCAAGTGGCGACTAAATTCTGACGCCAAAAGAGAAAGTTCAACATTTGCAAAGGCTCGCGCAACTTGCGTGCAAAACTTTGTTGGGTATGGTTCAGCTAGTTTTGTACGCCAGACTCCATTGGTTTGTCCCATCAATGGTACATGTGGTTTGCCAGTAAAAAGACATAGCCCCCTTTTCGCACCATGACAATGGAAACAATTGAGGTGATCCAGTGTAATATGTACGCCAAACAGTTTTGTAGCTTTCCTCCATGCGGTTCCAAACGCACAGAAGGTGACTTCCACCTGGAAGCAAACCGCCGTTTCAAGAGTCGAAGGACAGAAGGGCACAGCCAGAGTCGTGATCTAGCTGGATTCTCCAAAGTGAAAGCAATGTGCAAATACAACGCCATAGATAAAATTCGACAGCTGAAGTACATGAGGGCATTGCCAACGCGAACTTTGTGTGCATCATGTGCTTTTAACCCTTCCAATCCAAGAGGCTTCTCGTCACTGCGCAATGGCGGGGGGCCCCCCGGTTGGTCTCTTGCTCTTGAAAAGCTGTTGCATGGAGTACCCAAATGGCCTGCTTTGATGTAGCCTTTTGTCATCCAGTGCAAAATTTTATGTTGATTACACCTTTTTGTGAGGTCATATTCAGCCCCTAGCGTCAAATCCCAAAGAAGAACAGGACACCCAAGCTCTTTGTAAACCGCTTTGCCCAATCTGCCACATCCAGAAAAAATCTCCAATTACTTTACTTCGTGTGATCCCCACCATGACATTTATACATTTTCTTACTGGCAAATCTTCTGGCATTCTATCTGACATATCTTCTGACATTCTATTTGGCATTCTATCTGGCATATCTTCTGGCATATGATCTGGCATATCTTCTGGCATATCTTCTGGCATTCTATCTGGCAAATCTTCTGCCATTCTATCTGGCATATCTTCTGGCACTCTATCTGACATATCTTCTGGCATTCTATCTGGCATATCTATCTGGCATATCTTCTGGCATATTTTCTGGCATTCTATCTGGCAAATCTTCTGGCATTCTATCTGGCATATCTTCTGGCATATATCCTGACATATCTTCTGGCATATGTTCTGGCATATCTTCTGGCCTATCTTCTGGCATTCTATCTGGCAAATCTTCTGGCATTCTATCTGGCATATCTTCTGGCATATTATCTGGCATTCTATCTGGCATATCTTCTGGCATATATTCTGGCATATCTTCTGGCATTCTATCTGGCATTCTATTTGGCATTCTATCTGGCATATCTTCTGGCATATTTTCTGACATTCTTTCTGACATTCTTTCTAACTTTCTTCTGCACATTCTTTGTCCCATATCTTCCTACATGAGGTCCGGCAGGGAACACTTGGCGTGGAGAACACAGGATGCTCCTGTGCATTAAGCACGGCCAGCAACATCAGAAAGATTCAGCGACTACTTGTGGCTGAACTCTTGGCCCAGCAATAGCCTTTCCAAGGCCCTACCGCCACAGCCTTTGCAGGCAGTGGTTGATATATAGCAACCCTCAAGCTTCCATGCTATGCACATAAGATGTGATGCAACAGAAGCATGTCTCCAAAGTCCAGTTGGTTGGGATCGAGTGCACTTAACTTTGGCTTTGTTGTGTTTGTTTCCAGGTGGTTCTTGATTTTAACCTCGCAGATTTGCATGCCAAATGCTGTTTCCCCGCCATAGGCTTGCAAATCATCACTTGTGTTTTGCCTGGTAGACTCGGCTTCTCATGCCATGCAGCTAATTATGTGGGCCCTATCGTCCCATGACAAGGGCTTTGTTCACATCCAACCAGCACCCAACTTTCACATGGGTATCGGTATGTGTCAAACTCACCCACCCCTTCAAGACGCAGACCGCAATATACTCAAGACTCAAGATGATTAAAATGTGATCCTTCTGTGGGCCAATTGGTACATATTCCCGCACCAGGCAACAAAGCAGGAAGCCGGCAAGGAATATCGTCAGGGCAGCACTGATGCGATTGGATACTCGCGGTTGAGGTCCGGCAGGGAACACTGGGCGTGGATGGTCGTGGTTGAGGTCCGGCAGAGAACACTGTGGATCGCGGGTCGCAGTTGAGCAAGGACGACGAGGACGACGAGAGGAGGACGAGGAGGACGAGGAGGAGGAGGAGAGGAGGACGAGGCAGGAGGAGGCGGAGGAGGAGGAGGAGAAGGAGGAGGAGGAGAAGGAGGAGGCAACTGACATAAAATCTAACAACCCTCACCTGGCAGGTGGGGAAAAAGAAGGAAACTCCCAGGTTGACCGCATAGGTTAACGCCGCTACTGGAAAAGCTTGTCTAGGTTCTTTACGGCTAGCTCTGCCCTTCTTCGCACTTCTTTTGGGAGGCATCCCACCAGCTGCTGCAAACGACCCCCTTTGGTGTAGTTTTTCAAAGACTTCACACTTTGCCATCTTCCCCGCGCTTGTATGGCTGTCATGTCCCGAAGGTTCAAGGCAGCGTCGTGTGAGGCCCCCCCCATGTCTGAGTCGATAGACATGTGGAGGCCCCAATGCTGTCAGCTGCAGCCTGTCCCAGTTGTGCTCCATGAAATCTGTCACCATGCTGAGCGTCACTGAAAATGCCAGCTGATTTTTCTGCCTGCAGTCCAACTTCAGATGTTTGATGAGAGCCGGCCCCAAAAACCGCTGGCCCTTGAGGTCTAGTGTCAACATCTCGTCGTACTGCAGAGTTTTGGATGGCGTACCCACTTCGCTTGGATGGAGCAAGACGGCATAGAACCGGTAAGTCTTCCGGCCTTTTCCCACTGGAGCCACTATGTCCGGCACCCGCAGCCGGAATGGCTCTGCCGGCCTCAGGCATCAGAAGCATGCAGAGGGCCAGCTCCTTGTTCCCAATTCTCACTGCCTCTTCGCATAGCAGCGCTACCGCTTCGTATGGCAGCGGCATCCGCGCACGCGGAGGGCAAAGTCTCCGCCATCCTTTCATGCTCTGTTGTGTCAAGGGAAGCGCCTGAAGTCCCTTGCTCCCTGGATTGTGATAAATCACGGCAGCTGTCAAATAATTTGCTTTGCTCAGATCTTCCCCTTCCAGATACAAAAACTCCAGATATTGGGTCAGCAACTTGTCCATCTTGTTCATGTCCATGCCAGAAAAAATCTTTCCCTGACTCCACCGGCACAGCTGATCCCATAGATTCTCGTATCTCTTCAATGTTGCTGCTCCCACTGAAGCTTTTCTGAGAGTATCCTTTGGGTTCTGGTTTCTGACAGCTTTTCTTCTTCTGGATCTTTGAACCTGCTTCTCTTTGCCTGACAGGCTGCTGAGCTCGATGTCCCAGGTCAAAGGAGCCACCACTGTCGGCTCTGCCTGGCGAGGTTGGTGAGCTGACTTCTGCCTCTTTCTGGACGGCCCTTCGTCCCATGTCACGTCCACCCCCAGATTCCTGTGAATCATCAAATTTCCTAACAGGGGAAGACACCGACCATGAGCCGCGGCTAGGCCCGTCTGCTGGGTTCCACTCGCTGGGTATCCAGCGACTTCTAAAAACGCAACCAGAGCCCAAACTTAATGCTGCCAGCTGTTGTAAAACCCGTCGCAACCGAAAACTATTGGCCCTACCTTTGTCAATGGCAACTGCTGCAGTCATCGAATCAGTAAGAATAACATGTCTTTTGCCAAAGTTGGAACACTTCCGAAGTATGTGCCTAACCCCATAAAGTGTAGCTTGTGCTTCATGTACCGGCATGCTTTCCTGTTGTCTCCATCGATGCCTACCAACAATTTGCCAACTTCTATCAACTGTACGATAGCCAACAGTTTTAAAATAATTGCAACCCTGATCATAGCCACAAACATCCGCAACCTCAAAAAGCTCCTCATCTGTGGCCCGGACAAAATGTCTGGGATTCCTCGCCTGGTCGTCCTTGAATCTCCACCGTTCGACATAGGCTCCAAGCTGCTGAAGCTCCTGAGCAGTCGATGGCGATGTAGTTACACCCAAGCCCCATTCTGAAGCATCAACAGCATAAATAGTATCGCCCCACCCACTCCGCATATTGTTGAAAATCATCACTGAAATACCATCCCACTTTGCCAGCTCGCGTCGAACGCTTTTCCAAATGGGCACCACCTCAGTATAATGTCGTTTGACATACGTGTAGCATTCCCCCAAGACTGAAAGTGCTTCTCGCCGACAAAGTGAAACAAACGTGATGTGGCCAAGGAGTCTTTCAAGCTGCTGGCCACTGCATCTACCTCTTTTCAAAAGTTCCCTGATAGCAGCTCTTATTCTCCATAGCCTCTTCCTAGTGGGTTTCAACAGACCTGATTCTTCAACACGCCATCCCAGCACCTCTGCCTCTCCCTCATTTACCTCAATTTCATGAACTGTAAGACCCGAATCCCGCATCACCTTCACCGCAGCCCAAAACTGATTCTCAACCTCCTCCTTGTTGGTGCCAAAGATATGCAAATTGTCCACATATTGCACATGCCATAGGTTACCCTTCGGCACAACTTGCCCATCTCTCAGCCGTTGACCAGGATCTAATCCAGCTTTGTCACACAGTGTCTCATTCACATGCTGACACCACCACATAGCCCAACTCCAGCCCATAGGTACTACAGCTATGCGAGGATAGACAATGGCATGAGGTTGCACATCTCTACCACCAACGCTCGAAAGGCCAAGTTCAGCTGCCGTGAGCCCCTTCAACCCAAAAAACGGTCTCAGGGAGGACGGCATGGCCATGGTGTAGAAGGCATTCTGCAGGTCAGCGCTCGCCATATAGAGTGGAGTTCTACCCGTCTCAATTTTTCCTATGCTATCGCCCGTAGCCAACTTGATAGGCGTTGGGGTAGTGAAATGGCAGTTGCTTCTACGACAGTCAAAGATCAACCTCTGTTTTCCTCCTTTCTTCTTCACAAAAAACATGCCAGTTTGCTCCAAAGGTTTTTCCAATGAAAGGTCCAGCATGCCCAAACTCAAGAGCCTCTTGACAAACCCAGAGTATTTGAGTCGGTTCTTAAACTGTGGATCCTCATAGCTACGCCCCAGCCTTTGCTCCCTAAGATTACCTGCTGCCTCGGCTGAAGCAAGAGTTTGTGTCGATGTGAAGCTATCCACCTCTTCTCGCCCGCCCTGACCAACCAGCATTTCCAGAGGCACCGGAGTAAGAGCCCCCGAAGGCAAAGCGACCAGTTCAGGATCATAGGATGCCAAAGGACATGAGGTCGGCAAATCCTCATATCCTTGAGAAACCCGAAGCTCCATGAGGGCCTCAGGGCCCGTGAGGCCATCACTAAGGCCGGCCTCACCCACGCACTGTTCAACGAATTCCAAGACCTGAAGTTGTGCAGCACTAGGAACTGATTGAAAGCCATCCGATGCTGCACTCCGCTGTAAACCAGGTCTTCCATACATAAGGTTGAGGGCATCAATTGATCGATTCACCTCCTCCTCAAAAAATTGTCTGCGCCTACGTCTCTGCGTGGTTTTCCGCGAAACACGGCCCTGACCAAATTCTGAAACCTGCACCAGAGGAAGCGGAAAGATATCCCGCGGGCACCTATCAACTTCCTCCCCCCGGCTGGGTAACGCAAAGTGGCTAAGGCCGGGCCCACCTTGCACCCTGCTCCTCAGGGGTCCGTCTGCTTGTCCCCCTTTTTCCCCTTTCTCGCAAGCTCTCTTTCCTCTCGGGCTTTCCTAAGGTTCTTAGCCAAAGAGGCCTCCTTCTCAGTCTCCAGCTTGACATGATCCAAGAGGTCAGGGCAAATCATCAAAGTAGAAAATTGTCTGGTAACTCCTCCAAACGATGTTTGCTCTTCAAGGGACAACCTCCCTCCAACAGCTTTCGACTCTTGCTCACGTGCCTTCTCGCTGTAGGAGTATTCAATTGTTTGCAATCGTCTGAATTGGATCTCGATGGACAAGAGGTTGAAAGCGTCCAATTGGTCCACCAGCAGTGCCTGTCTCAGGCACATGGAGACTTGGAAGTGTTCTTGGATGCCCCAGCTAGAGGCATCCGCTCTGGTGACTTGTCGAAGGCGTTCATGGTGTCCTTCGAAGCCCAATCCCTCCACTGCCAGATAATTCACACACCACTTTGCAGTCCTTGGGCCCGCTAGAGCCCAACGCACCTTGACTTCTTTGCACAACGAGGCCACATCTTTCAGCCCCCTTTCTGGTTGTCCCAAAGCGTTGAGCTCTACCTCCAAAATACGGGGATCCCCCCGTGAAGGCTTCTGCAAAAACTTGAAATAGTCACTGCCATCCACACATTCGACAAAAATCACACCACCACTCGGCAAGTTGAAAGCCAGTTTGGCACCCTTGACAAGTCCCGCCCCAACTCCTGCCACCTCTTGCCCATGCTGGTATCCATGACATGTCTCAGCAGCTAGCCACTTCAAGGATCCCTCTGCAAAACCTTCATGGCGGTCAAAGGCGGGCTGCTCAGCAACTCGCGCCCCCGCAACCACCGCTGCAGGCGCCTGAGCCCCCACAGCTGCAGCTGCTAAGGGCCCACCTGCCAAGGCCGCTCTTTCTTGATCAGCCACACGGCGTGCCTCATCTCTATGTCCATTCAACTGATTGGCAGTCCACGCAGGCATCGCGTAGATCTCAGCAGCCACCAACCCAGCTGGAACCCTCCTGGGTCCCGGCCTCACTCTGATGGCCCGGACGTCCGGATTCAAAAGCCCAAGATCCTCAGCATATATATCCCCATCTGGGGTCAACACTACATAGGTATCATTGGCTACATGTTCCATCACCAACCGGTCATGCCACAGTCTTGCGCCGGCCACATTGTATTCTAACAAGACCTCTCTATTGACCAAAGCCATGCCTCCTCAGTCTGATCTCTGCCAACTGGCGCTGGGCCAACTGACGCTGGCAGACAGGTGATCCAATCTCCACTGCTGTTGTCGCAAAGCTCCTACTCCACACCTGACCTAAAACCAGCAAAGTGCCTAGAGCTACCAACAACAACACGAAAGGAAACCACAAGCCACAATCTGAGTCCCACCAAACCCGCCCCCTCGGATACCACTGTCTGTCCTCCGGTGTTTTTGGCACAACAGTGGGATTTCCGACCGAGGAAGGGATTGGGTCAGGATCAGTCCCACTTGAATCTCCCTTGATTGGTTCGCAATGGGTTTTGATCTCAAAGGCCAAGTTGGATAGTTGATGCTCAAGATTCCGCTGCTGCACCCACTGGACCCCAACTAAACCAAGGGACCCCAAATGCAGCGCCACTGAGATCTTCCACAAACTATTGGCCCCTAGACCCATCAGAACAGCTTTGAACTTGAGCGGTGAATGGCCAAGGCGGCTAAATTCGAAAAACATGCGACTCAGTCAAACTGGTGAAGGACCCATATAAACTATACATTCTACATTCTACAGCTCCACATTTTATGTATTTTTATGTTATAAATATGTAGTAGGATCATATGGTAATTCGCAGACATGTTGCATCCATATTGCGTAATATCCAAGAGTTGCCATGCCGCGGCCATGGCCCACATGGTCCTAGGAACAGCTGGAAGACTTTGGCGTCTTTGGGCTCCAATCTATGGGCCCTCTCCGCCGCTTGCAGGGCTGCAGCAGAGCCCAATTCCATCAAGGCCTGCGGCTGGGCATGATGACAGAAAGTGCAAGGCAAATTTGAGTGGAGAACAGAAGGAACATATACGAATGATGACTTGTTCAATCTTGAACATTCTTAAACATACAATCTTAAATACATATTAGTTGGTTGCGTTTCCCAACTAAAATGGCTTCATCTCTGCTACAAGGGAACAGGAAGGCTATTGGATGATGATAAATGATAGTGCCGCTGGCTGCTCTCAAACCAGTTGCTGCATCAGGCAAGCCCCGAAGTGGAGATAAATACGTTAAATCGGATAAATGTTGGCCGAGATTTCTGGCTGTGTGCGGTGGGTAGCATGATACCCTGGGATGCCCAAACATACTGCTCATTCAACTTCATCCGCCAGCTGATAGGCAGGCACGCACGAACCAAACAAAAACAAGAAGAGCCTGTGTCCGTGCAAATCATGGGGTCAGAAAACAAAATAAAACATGCACAGCCCGAAGTAAAATACAAAATACTGTAAATCAAAATAGTGCAAAATCCAGCCCTGGAACCATGATGCCTCACTGCTGAAAGGCTGAAAATTACGCAAACTTATAGAATTGAAATTACAGGGTGTCCTTGAAAGAATCCAGCCTTACCACGTCCACCGTCGTCCCCTCAACCCCGGTTGCCAGCCTGCGCCTGCCTGAAGGCCGCCTTGCTGTTGTGGCCGTTCAGCTGGAGAGCTTCCTCAGCTGCTGCCGCAGCATCCTCGAAGTGGCCAGCCTTCAGCAACACCAGGGCCTCGCAAGACACAGATAGGCTGATAATGGCTGATATCTGATAGGTGTCAACAGGTCTTCAGCAAGCTTCGATGAACATCAATGAAGAGCTTTTGGAGGAATCATGAGGAATCCCCGGATCACTCACCCCTCCTCCGCACGTGCACCAAGCGGCTCGGTTGGAGTGCAGGATTGAAGCTTCAGCTTCGGGCAGAACATCACCTCCCTCCTTCAAAGCAACGGATGCTGGATGAAGACAGGACATTCTGTGTTTTCGGTGTGGAAAGGTACAAATAGCAAAGAGCTCCTTTCCGGCTCTCTGGGCTTCATTCATGGGAGAGAAGGGGTCACTGTCACAATCCAATGCTAGGGCAACATCAAACTGGGATAAGCGATGATAACCTATTGCAAACATGAAGCTACAGGACATTGGTCAACATTTGAGCAGTGTTGAGAACCCTTTTGCAAATTTGTTATAATCCCACGTGGCTTTCGCGGAGCTTTAGCGGTACTTACGCGACCACACGTTTAGCTTTCGCGGACGCTGAGTCCATCATGTTTGCTTTCGCGCAGCTGTCGCAGATAAGTTAAAACTAGTACTATAGTGATAGGCAATAATTTCAAGCTTTCGCGGAGTTTTCGCGGTTAGAACATTTAACGCCTCTTTCACGGGTGCTTTCGCGCGGCTTTCGCGCGTGAGGTTTTTACTTTCGCGGAAGTAAGCTAGTTTAACGTTTAATATATAAAATGCTTACTTGGAGGTTTTCAACGCTGCTCATTTGACTTCCTGCTCCTTGGCACCATATTTGCGCAGGAGCATTTAGTCACCCATGAAGTCCCGTTCCACGCACTACACAGCTAACTGGCTGCGGCAAATGCAGCGGACCTCGAGCGCCATTCTGTAAATTGTTTCTGCTGGCCACCTTGGGGAAGGCGAAGTGACATTGTGTAGATGGACCTGATCTGACCTGATGGTTTGGTAAGGTGCGAACGCGTGCCCATGGTTGGTTATTATACTTACTGTACACGAATGTAGCTGCTGCATGATGGTTTTGACCGCAGTCCTATCAAATCCTATCAAGTGAGCCAAAAAACGTGGCCAATTTGGCTTCAGTTGAACGCCGGGGAAGAGGAGGAACATGCACAATTAGACGAATTAAAGTATTATCAATTATTTGTATTATCAGTAATTATCAGCATTTAGATGCACTGCATTGCTGCATTTAGCATGCGCGTCACTTAATCCTCCTCCCCTTCTTTGCCCTCTGAACAGTTGATTTGTTTCATGTCAGTCAGTACATGTCAGTACTTAAGCACTGACTGACACTCCAAACAAGATACCCTCCACCGGTGCCTTCATTAGCTAGTCCATCATGATATGCAGCATCCTTTCATGCCTTTCCGGACCCGCCAACTTCCCAACTGCTACGGCTGCCAAGGCACAACATTTTTGCGGACACTGCTTCGTTGCCCAGCAGCTTCAATGTTTGCCAGGCATGTGCTGCATCCTTCCCAAACACCGCTGGGGGCTGGATGGGGACATAGGATCGATGTCTTCATCAGCTGGCACGTCACAGGCATGGGATGCTATGGTTTTGACAAATCAGAACTTCCCTCTTGGATTAATATAACTTCCCTCATAGTTAGCTCTCAAACTATGCTTTCAGGGCTCCTTTTTCCATACCGAAATGCACCGCTCTCTCCGTTCCCCAGTTCCACCTCCCGCTTCTGCATGGCAGGATCAAAAAGGTTACCTGAGGGCTCAGCTGCGTCTATATGCGTCTATCTTTATCAGTTCCATTATAATCAGGGCCTCACCCGACATAATCAACCAAGATAACCAAGCAACTTTGACACTTCTTCAGGGCCTCACCTGACATGGGATCAGAACCTGCAGTGGTCAAGAGTTGGACAACCTCTGCAATGTCATGACGCGCAGGCAAGGGGTAAGGACAGGAGCATGTCGCATATTGTGCTTGGCGACATTGGAGCTCATTGGAGCATACAGTCACTGGAAAAAGTATGGTGATCATTGGAGAAGTAAAAAAACATCTACACTTCACACCTTGGTCACTCATACTTTAAGGATATGTTTCCTATATCCGGGATACAAAACACACGCATTCCAGGACTAAGCACGAGTCAAAATAGTCAAACGACTTCAACTTGATGGTGGCTCAATGTGACTCATACCTGTGGTCTCCACTAATGCTCAAAATCGATCCCATCATCATAGTCTTTCTGAGGCCATTGCGAATGGTTGGAAGATCTGCCAGCTCCTGCTGCTTGGGCATGGTTGGGCATCGCGTGACCCACTTTCTCAGGTGAGAAAGGGGGTTTTACCACATGCCACAAGCCACATTAAAGCCCAAATGATGACCTCTCCCTCTCTTTGGGAAACTCTACTTTGTAGCTCCTTGGCTCACCATTCTGTAGGTGCGAGTAATATGAATGAGTATGGATGAATATGGATGCTATTGGATACCTATAGCTCAAGACCGTTCCCTCCATTTACCACTGGAAATGCCCTGGGCATCCCTTCCCTGAAGTTTCCTCCAGCAATTCCTCTGCCACTTGTCGCATTTCAGGTGCCTTAGCTGGGGAATGACTTGGCGGCTCTGGACCGAAATTGGCATACCCTCTTCACCTCGAATTTGTGCGAGAACTAATGGCGTATGGTTGAGTGGCTTGTGGAATTCGAAGGATTTATGAATATCCGTGAATATCTGCGGTATCAGCACTGGTGCTGGAGGTCTCGTTAGCAGTATTATCAGCTTCCGAGGACACTTGCAGAAACAGTGCAACAAAAGGCACCCCTTGGACCCCTTGGGCATTTCTTCCAGGTGGCCAATGGTGTGGAACCTTTGGCGCAGCGTTGCAGGGCTGTCATGGCACCCTTTACTTCTGGAGGCACCGTAGCCTGGTGAGAGAATGGCACAAACATTTGGTGATGTAGTGCCAACATGTGCCAACAAGGCTCGAAGGTTGGAAGCTTCTCTAGAACTTGCGGAATCTTGGGATAATCTGAGGTCCCAGCCTCTGCAACTTCGTGGCCAGTTTGTGGTCGCAGCCATCCAATGGCCGCAGCCAGCAGCTGGATGCTACTCGAATAGCTTTTTGGAAAGACCTCTGCTTGGAACAGTTCAGTGGTCACAAAGTTTTGCTGGGCGGGGTATCCACCATGGATCATGTCAACTGTATACATGCTTCGTCTTGTGTTGGGGCCCTCTCATGGGACGACATGTTATGACACCCAGAAATGTGAGCGCCTCCCCAGGCTCTGAGAGGATCAGCCCACAGTACTGCCAAAGCTTTCCAGAGCTGAGGCCTAAGTGACTCGGACCTGCTCATAGGTGTCACCCCTCTACCTCCGTGGACACTCGGAGGCTTAGATGTTCAATAATTTTGTTTGCATCAGCGCCCAAACCAAACTCTAAAACGCCTTGCCGCTGCGACAAAAATGTCACCTCAAACACATCAGCAAGAAGCAGCCCGTGACACTGCCCCCTTGAATCGTCGTCCTCTTCAACACCCAGCCGACCCAGCCCATCTTCATCTGCTAGATTCTGCCAGCAAGATGCAGAGAAAAACGTGGTGTTGCAGGTGCGCCTCGCACAGAAAATACATGTTTTTTGGAGAATCAAAGAAATACTGGGTCACCTTAGGATCGTGTGCCAACTGCATCCTTTCAATCCTTGTTTGGCTTTCCCAAGGCCTATCCCTGGGATGTGCGCAACAAGCGTGACAGCACATATGGTCATGTATCTAAATGTCGTTGAATTCCATCCATCCATCCATCCATCCATCCATCCATCCATCCATCCATCCATCTGTGTGGCTTGGCAAGAAAGGAAACGCTTCAAAACCCTGATGCTGAATGGCGCAAAGGGCAACCCCCCAACAAGAAGGCATCCTTAGGAAGGAGTAACCGGCATTGCTGGGCCTGTCGACCCGAGCTGGCTGGCTGCATGGCCATGTGTGGTGCCAGAAAATCATGCAGGAGCTCGATGGCTTGGGACTGGATCACCCGATTCTCCTACAAATTCAGAGCTCAACTTCGACTGTAGAAACCATGTGCACTGCGTGCTTCCGCGCTGATATGGGTGCCATATCAGCCCCAAGGCTCCTCCCCCAAGAGGCTCACCAAGGAAAGCAACCCTCCAAAGTGCATGAACCTCTCAGCCAAGCCACCTGACAGCAAGGAGCTGGAAAATGTGTTAAAAAATGTTAAAAATCATTAAAAATACGAGAAGAGAAGGACAATGAGGCAGCAACAGGGCAACCAAATTGAAATTGCCAGAATTTGAAGATCGCGCGGTTTGCTTCAGAACTATCTAGCATCTGCTAACATGTGGTTGAGACGGTAGGTCCGCATGACTTGACCCCAGGACCCCAAGCTCAGCGATGTTAAACCAATAACTCTGTGTTTGGAATGCCTTGAGTGGCGAGCTGTGTCCGTGCAGAAATCAGCAAAAATGTGATGCGATACCCCTCATTATTAAAGAAGATGTTGCGTTAAGGATGTTAAAATGTGATAATGTTGACCTCCTTTTTGCACACTAAGCATTGGAACGGATCAACACATTGCCAACCAGGGCAGCTGTGGTACCGTCATGCCGATGCAAGGTGTAAAACACTGACAGCAGCTTGAACTTCATGAGTTGTTCCTCCCGCTGCAGCCAGCGCTGCGCAAGAGGCTAGGCAGTGTAAGCTTCCGTCAGCTACCAGTAGTGTCATGTTCCAAAGATCAAGCAAACCCGCCCTTGGTCCTAAGATGTCAGGGGTTGCTAACCAACACCCAAAGAGGAACAAAAACAAATATCTGACAGTCTTAAGGTTGGCATGTCAGCTTTCTGCTCTCTCCCCCATGCTCTCCTTCCGCTTGGTCGCTTCCGGCGTGTCCAATTGGAAAGCCTTCACATACACCTGGCGCGCATAGTTTGGCGCTGCATGGCATGGGCTATGATGTGCCGCTCAGTCAACATCCTTTCGCTTTTTCCTCACCATTTGTGAGCCAAGAATGGTCCAGCTCATAATTAATGCTCACATTACATGCACTCCAAGTCGAATACTGGCAACTTGACCCAGCCCCAGTTGGTCTACAGCATTGGATGGCAGGGGGGCCGCATCATCCCCATCACAGATTGCACCTCCATGTCTGACCTCGGCAGGGAGCTGGCAGTGATCTCAGGGGTCGGAGCTGGCGTGATCTCAGGGGTTTTGCGTTCCCCCGAGGTAATTATGAAATCTATAGCTATGAGGAATGGATGCTTCCTGCTTGGGTTGAAGAAACCCTGACCCTCACGGCACGTCATACTTCAAACCAATTGGTGAAGTCTCCTCATGCTGCAAGCAGGATTTCATCCCTCCCCGACAAGCGTCATCCGAGGAAAGAAGACAATGCGCTGGGCATCTTCCACAGCCAGAGCCTTCCATCCTGAAGTTTACCCCAAGAAAGGTGTGTGCACAACGTACCTACCAGCATCCTTACTGGCCATGTCTTTCCCTCTGCATATTACAATTTCTGTATTACACATATAGACGGTGCGTGTGTATATTATACATATATACTGTATATATATATGCGTGTATTTATTTTTGTTTATGTGTTTATATTGATATTTATATGTATGTTATTCATATTTATATATATATATATGATTTTACTATTGTTTTATTTATATAAAGATTTATTTATCTATTTGTTTGTTTATTATGTTTATCTATTTGTTTACTTGCTTGTTTATTGTTTATGTATCTATTTGTGTTTATCTATTTATTTAATGTGTGTGTGTCTAATATACCACCAAAAATTTGCATACATATATTATAGAAATTGTCGGTGTGTGAGATCTGATGGGGAAATGACAACTTTCTTCTATCCAAGTATCCCATCATTGCAGCGATTTCCCCCTCGTAGGGTTTCTCAAACAACCGCCGCATACCGGACTCCATCCTGACTTTACACAGGGGTCAGTGCTTGGTGAGGTGATTGCATGTTCAGCCGCTTAGACACCATTTGGAATTGCTGAATTGCTGTTGCCCGCTTCTGGATCTTCTATCATCTCTGATCATCCAATTATTCATGATTATTCGGGTTATATGTCCCAATGAAACAACGCTTTTTGTCCTGAATTCTGTTCAAGAACCTCTCGTTCAATCGGAATATGGCCGTGCCGCCAAGAGGCCCGTCTCGAACCTGTGGCTCGGTGCCCTGGTAGTCCTAGCAGATCTACACGAATTCGAACTACCAATTAATTTTTATAATCTAATATATATATATATATATATATATCCGCCGACCCCGGCTGCGCAAGGGGGAGCGCGTTAGGGAATAAGACAGCAGCACCCAGCCAGTAGCCAGCAGTCAATATCCGCCGACCCCGGCAGACGCAAGGGGGAGCGTGCCAGGGAATAATACTTTTGACTCTTGTTTCGGACTACTACTACTACTACTACTACTACTGCCATGGTGTTTTCCCATCCGGCAGGTGCCTTTTGAACAGAAGGAGTCACAGGAGCAGGAGCAGCAACAGGAGGGTTGTATGTCTCATTGTACAAACAGTGGTATAAAAATTGGTCGAAAACCATAAAACCTTGTTCAAAACTAAACTATTGTTTTTCTAGGGTTTCAGAAGGGACGTTAGGGACTTTTTGGGCTCGATTTTGGCGCTGTTCCGTCCTTCAGGGCCACTGTGTTTCCCTGTCCGGGAGGATGCGTTTTCAGCCTCGGGAGGAAGAGCAGCAGCAGCAACAGGAGCAACAGGAGGGTTGTATGTCTCATTGTACAAACAGTGGTATAAAAATTGGTCGAAAACCATAAAACCTTGTCCAAAACTATTGTTTTTCTAGGTTTTCAGAAGAGACGTTAGGGACTTTTTGGGCTCGATTTTGGCGCTGTTCCGTCCTTCAGGGCCACTGTGTTTCCCTGTCCGGGAGGGTGTGTTTTCAGCCTCGGGAGGAAGAGCAGCAGCAGCAACAGGAGCAACGGGAGGGTTGTATGTCTCATTGTACAAACAGTGGTATTTAAAAAAAATAAAAAAAAATTGGTCGAAAAACATACAACCTTGTCCAAAACAGGAGGGTTGTATGTCTCATTGTACAAACAGTGGTATAAAAATTTGTCGAAAACCATAAAACCTTGTCCAAAACTACTATTGTTTTTCTAGGGTTTCAGAAGGGGCGTTAGGGACTTTTTGGGCTCGATTTTGGCGCTGTTCCGTCCTTCAGGGCCACTGTGTTTCCCTGTCCGGGAGGGTGCGTTTTCAGCCTCGGGAGGAAGAGCAGCAGCAGCAACAGGAGCAACAGGAGGGTTGTATGTTTCATTGTACAAACAGTGGTATAAAAATAAAAATTGGTCGAAAACCATAAAACCTTGTCCAAAACTATTGTTTTTCTAGGGTTTCAGAAAGGACATTAGGCACTTTTTGGGCTCGATTTTGGCGCTGTTCCGTCCTTCGGGGCCACTGTGTTTCCCTGTCCGGGAGGGTGCGTTTTCAGCCTCGGGAGGAAGAGCAGCGGCAGCAACAGGAGCAACAGGAGGGTTGTATGTCCCATCGTACAAACAGTGGTATAAAAATTGGTCGAAAACCGGTTTTTGTCTTTCTAGGGTTTCAGAAGGGACGTTAGGGACTTTTTGGGCTCGATTTTGGCGCTGTTCCGTCCTTCAGGGCCACTGTGTTTCCCTGTCCGGGAGGGTGCGTTTTCAGCCTCAGGAGGAAGAGCAGCAGCAGCAACAGGAGCAACAGGAGGGTTGTATGTCTCATTGTACAAACAGTGGTATAAAAATTTGTCGAAAACCATAAAACTTTGTCCAAAACTATTGTTTTTCTAGGGGTCAGAAAGGACGTTAGGCACTTTTTGGGCTCGATTTTGGCGCTGTTCCGTCCTTCAGGGCCACTGTGTTTCTCCGTTGGGCAGGGTGCGTTTTCAGCCTCAGGAGGAAGACTTGGTTGAAAACTATTGTTTTTCTAGAGTTTCAGAACGGAGGTTAGGCACTTTTTGGGCTCAATTTGGGCTCCGTCCCTCAGGGCCAGTGTGTTTCCTTGTCCGGCAGAGTGCGTTTTGAGCCTCCGGAGGAAGAGCAACAGGAGCAACAGGAGGGTTCGATGTCTCATTGTACAAACAGTGGTATAAAAAGTTGTCAAAAACTATTGTATTTCTAGAGTTTCAGAACGGACGTTAGGCACCTTTTGGGCTCGTTTTTTGCGCTGTTCTGTCCTTCAGGGCTACTGTGTTTTCCTGTCCAGCAGGATGCGTTTTGAACCTCGGGAGGAAGAGCAGCAGCAACAACAGGAGCAACAGGAGCAACAGCAGCCGCAGCCGCAGCAGAAGCAGCGCAGCACTTTTTCATCATCAGCAGCAGCAGCAGCTAAAGCCTAACAGCGGCAACAACAAGCAGCAGCTTGCAGCAGCAGCTGCAGCTGCAGCAGAAGAAGCAGCGGCTGCAGAAAGAAACCAAAAGTCACCACACAAGATGATCACCACCACACAAAAGTTAAGCCAACGCAGGATGCCCCCATAGGTTCCCGGACTCCAGCCACTACCGGAGAAGACGATCTAAGAAAGGAGTGGAAAGTCTTAGTCACCTTGTCAGTGACCCCAGTCCCTATGGAGCACAGCTCGGACCTTAGAGCCAAAAACAAGGTCCTCACTGTGGCCAGACTGTACATTGAGCCCGCTCTCCCCGAAGGTTGAGAGTGAACCGGTCGGTGACCCAGTCATTAGCGATCTCATGTATCCCAGGGGAATACACCTGTCTTGCGACAGGACCCTAACACTGTTAGGGAGGAACCGACGGTCTTGTCCACCGTGAGCTTAGCTACCCAACGATGAATATTGATCGTTAGCCAACGCGTTGCCCCGTTGACCCCTCCTCGAGACAAGTCCCCAAGTCTCTAAGAGGTTCACCGACCTTGCCTGTTCCCCCGTGTCATCATTGGGTGTTGCTACCCTAGACACAAGGTAAGGTGAGACCCGTCGTCCCGTACCACGTGTGTACCAATCGGTCTGGGAGAACCCCGAGATACCGCACGATCACCCAAGGATGTGCGCAAACACAAACGAGGGTGTGACATGAGGAGCAACCCAACATGTCAACACACGCCGACTAGGGGGTACCAAGGTACCGTGCAACAATAACAACAACAACAACAACAACAACAACAACAACAACAACAACAACAACAACAACAACAACAACAGCAGCAGCAGCAACAGCAACAGCAACAGCAACAGCAACAGCAACAGCAACAGCAACAAGAAGAAGAAGAAGAAGAACAAGTAGAACAAGTAGAACAAAAACCGGACGCTGAAGGAAATTGCACCTTATTCCTCAGCTCGTTTGCCACTCTGTCTGCGGGCACGCGCGACCATTCGGTTGTTTATGCTTGCTCTGAATTCGCCCCGCTGCTCTGCTGCTGCGGACACAAGTTCTGCAAGTTGGGCATGTGTGCGCATACCGCATGGTCGGACGGAGGCTACCGTTTTCGACGCGGAACTGCTTCCCACAAACGTGACGGTGATCAATGTGTCCAGAAGCTATGGAGGAAGTTACCTCCCCGCTACAAAAAGGACACGTGTATACATACTCCGGCGACTTTTGGCGTGACGCCGGAGGAGCCTGCGCTACGCAATCACTTTTGCTCGCATCCGTCGCACTACTCGCTTGGAAATGTTTTACGCGACTTTGACCATCGCTATTTCGACGTTCGGCAATCGCTTCCCAAGTCTCGCGGAGAACGCGTGCGCGACGGAGTCGCTTGCGCAGAGGTTCTAATCGCGCAGCGGCGGACGTGGCAGCACGCTTGCGGATTGTATCCTGCACCATGGCAGCACGGCATGTATTGCATGTTTGCATGCCATTCTTTCCTGATGGCCGTCTGGAGATAAAGCTGGAAAATTGTTGGTGCGGCTTTCGTTGGCGACAGGTCGCGCACTTCCACGAGCCGCGAGTTTTAGTTTGGCAACATAGGCACAATCTTCGTTCAGGTTTTCTCGTGTGCCATGCGGCGGTGCAGAAAAATTCCTTTGTTTGGTTCTTGTTGCAAACAAAACATTTTTTTTTGGTGTCGCATGAAAGGCAGACGCGACACATGCTCCACCGCGGGTTGCGATGCTTTGACGGAAAGTGTGCTGCGCCGTGCCACAGGCCGCACTGTGTGCATCGATAGGGCGTGCCGGCTTCGCGCTTCTGCGCTGTGCATTCTTTGCACACGCGATACGTTTCCTGTTTCCATTGTGCTTTGGTGAACGCGTCTTTGCGCTTCATCTCGCCACATTCGTGGCACGGCCTTTCATCCAGATATTTCTTGCGCAATGCGTCCCAGTCCACCGGCTCCTGCTTCCACACGTCCAGAAGAAGTTGTCGTCCGAGCGGCAGGCCTTCTTGAAAAGGCGCCAGCGGGAACGGTCGGTAGATCAAGATCTTGCGCCGTG